ACAGTTTATGACTCTTTTACAGCTTATTTAAACTCAGCCCTCTCTCCGTCCTGCATTTTTGACTGTATGTCTTTTCTTCAGGATGATTCGCTTAGCACCACTATTCTGATTTTCGCTCTCTCTCACTCTCTATGAACTGGGTTTGTTTGACAAATTCTGATCCTTTCTGAAAATGTCTGGCTCAGTTTTATAATATTATTTATTTTTATAGCCAAGTCCCCAGCAGGTGAAGAAAAAAATGAAGACAATTTGGTAAATAATGAACATGGGGATGACATATTGTTTTCCTGCAATGAGGAATAAATGCACTTTATTAAGTGACCTTTCCTCTAGTGGCTGCCAAGAAATCAGAGATAATAAAGCTCTTACTTGCAGAGGGTTTTAGTTGAGAGGGGGGTATTGCTCAAAAAAAAAGGTCCTTTCTTTTTTAAAACCTTGTTGCAGCAACATCAATATTGGCCAAAGTGTGTTATTGAGACTATTTGTGTTGTGGTTTTGTCTTTCTTTCAATTTATCTATTTTTGTAAACGCTGTGATTTACAAATGATAATTTAATTCCCCCTCTCTGATACTTCTCTGATTTCCAGGCGTTTGTTCTAGGTCTTTACTCTTCAGTGTCTTTTCAGAAAGTGTAGCGTGCTTGCCATGAATTCCACTGGAGTCTGCATGGACGTGTGAGTGCCAGCTGGTGGTGTTTAGCCATTGATTCCGTGTATGATCGTAAGCGGCTTAATCAGCTTTGCATCTAGAAGGGTTACTGTGATTGATGACCAACAGAGATCTTTCCACTGGTATCAGTGTATTAACAGTCTAATCCAAAGTGGGTAGGGATGGCTGTGGGGAGAAGTGGTGCTTTTCACGTGTGTGCGTGGAGTGACGTTCGGTATGTGCCAGTGTAAGGGATGTGCTGTGGCTTTGGGATGAGTGATCTCTAGGAAGGAGTCATCCTTCTTGTACTGTGTGCCCAGAGGCACTGTGCCGTTCATGTACACTTATAGCCACCATACATTTGTGTGGTTTAAAGATTTTACATGACAGATAGGAGCTTAAGATCTGGGCCAAGCTTTCTTCAGGTATAGTCCTATTATCTTGCTTGAGTGGATAGAAACTGTTTGGCCTGGCAACACTACAGATACTCTTGGGCTTGGCAGAACAGGTTGATTTCATGCTTGTGTTTTTTTTCTACTATACCTTAAAAAGTTAAGGGCGACTTCCTCCAAGAAACCTACGCTTAGGACTCACAGATGGGAGTCATCTGCTACTTAATTTATGAACTAGACACCTGTTCTCACACAGCTAAACATGTTCCTAAGCATTCAATGTTCCTTCAAAATATAGGTTAAAATAAATCAAAACAGTGATATAATGCTATAGCACAAAGTGCTAGATCAGGATTAGGAGAAATGAAGCGTGTGGATTCATGTTCTCCACTGCCTGTGGATGCAGCTCAGAAGCAGTAGAGGCTATGTGCTCCTGAGGCCAGTTCTGGGTAGACCTGAGTGAGAAAGAGCAACCTCGGACTTCTTCCATCCACGACAATTGACTGTTGCACTTCAAGATTCAAGATACGCTTAGCACCTTCTCTTCAATTCTAGGCTTACATACTTTCTCAGATTACCTCAGAGAGTGACATGCCAGGCTAATCTGCCAGGACCCAATTCCCGGGGACAGCCAAAGCCCAAGCAGAAGACCTGTCCCATGAGTCTTGCAGCTCTGGTGCCACCTTGGAGAGCAGAACATGGGTTAGGAGCAAAGCTTGCATGGGAAGCTCTGGTTTGAACCAAGGCACTACGTCTAATCTCAGAGACGTATATACATATATATGTATATATATATTTAAAGGATGTCAAATCTCACCTTGAATATGTATGTGTGAATATGGCTATTGGTGAGGGAGACTGACAGAGGAATGAGAACATAAGCCCACAAATCCTTTTTGAAGATTCTCCCCCCACCCCCGAAGTTACTAAAAGCATCAAGGAAGAGAAAAAGAAGCAGAGATATAAAATGCAAGTAGCACTTTTTAATAGATTTTTCTTCCTTTTCCCCAAAGGGTTCAGCCTCAGAGAAAGAGTGGAACATAATAATCCTTAGCATTTATATAGCACTTTACATTTCCAAAGCTCTGTACAAACATTAACTGATCAATCTGCACAACACCCCTGTGAGTTAGGGATGTATGATTAACCCCATTTTACATTGGGGGAAACCATAACATTTCAGAACCTGGCTTCCCCCACCCCTCCAGAGGTGCACGGTTCTTGCAGATCCCGCTGATTTAAACAGGAGTTATCCCTGACACTTCTGCCAGGTGCTTTGCGACAGCCTCAGGGCTACATCGCCAGCCTGTGGCTCATGCTCCAAAGGGTCTGCTTTTGATTCCCCCGCTCTAACCATGGGACTGCCAATGCTTTTACGCATCTTTGTCTTTCCACCTCCTTGGGGGTGAGACCTGTGACTGGAATTTCAAGAAGCAAAACTATACCTGGTTCATGCACCTACTGGAATATTGCAAAATTGTCTTTATTTGGGACCCCTATAGAAAAGCCTATTTTCCTAAATTTCTCTCCTCTCCTCTCCTCTCCTCTCCTCTCCTCTCCTCTCCTCTCCTCCTCTTCCTCTTCCTTCCTTCCTTCCTTCTTTTTTCCACTGTTCCAAATGCTGGAATGACTTAACATGAAATGTAATCCTGTATTGAGTGAAAGCACAAAAATGCAATGGTACAGCCTGTATTGGAGGCCTGCTTTTCCCTTTCTTTTTCAGTCTTTTCTTGATAATTTCCTATATGGCATGTGGACTAGGGGATTAATGCAAAAATGCATCTTTCTTTAATTTTTTTTTCTAGCACAGAAGTAAATAGATGTCTTTAACATGAAATCTTGGTGTAAATTTGTTGAATTAACTTTGCAATGCTTCCTGAGTTTCAGTCCCCTGAGTACAGGTTGCCTTTTACGGTAGAGCTCTGCTTTTGCAGGAGCTAGAGCTGTGTGGCAACACTGCTGTTTTGCTTTGCTCTGTGTTTTGCTCCTAGGCTTTGGTCTTGTGAGCCACAGGTGCCTTCATATTAATTCACTGTGGGTTCCCATTGGGAGAAAAACAACGCATGCACTCTGAGGAGATGCCTGGCTGTGGCAAAGAGAAGAGTTTTCTCCGTTGTCGTGTCCTACAGGTACGGATGGCTCCATATAACGTGCAGCACCAACAAAACCAGGATGCAGGCAGACTTGAATAGAGGACCTGAGCCTTTTGGCACTGACTGATTTGGGCTGACCCCCTGGCACAGGTTATGAAGAAGCTAGCTGCTGCCTGCCTGTATACGAAACCTTCCTCCCACCAAATGCTCACTTCTCGTTCAGGGTAAGGCACCAGGTAGTGCAGAGCTCAGAGGGGAGGCTTATTGCCACTTGCTCTTCCTCATCAGTATTTATCGTTGGGGCCTTCAAGATAGTTCAGAGAATACCGAATCTCGTCAGAGGATGGGTTCCTTGGTCTTCTCCGTCGGAAATAGTCTTAAGGAGGTAGAAGTAAGGTTCTAAATAACAATAATTGAGAAAAGCAGTGGAGGACTGGTCTTCCCAATACGTATGTGTTCCTGTGTGCGTTCAAATGTCATTGCTTTGGGCACTTTCTAATTTATTCACTATTTGTTTATCTGGGAAATATAGTATCACTACAGTAATAGGAGGCCTCAGTCTGGACTGATTCCCTATTTCTAGGAGAAAACTGCTTCTTCTGCCCTGGGATATGACCTGTAGCCTATTGCTTTTTATCTGTATTATTGAATCTTCTCATCTGGGAGCTGTGCAAAACAGCTTTTCATTCTGAATGCTAATCAAAAGGATATGTTAATTAAATATATTCCTAATGAAACTAGTTTGCAATGAGACATGCAGGCCAGAGTCTGCCCCTTCTGAAGGTAATGAGAGGTATCGAGGGGACTGGATTTTTTTTTGGAGGGGGAGCTGGCCACTGATTTAGAGATAATCGTTATTGTCATGAAGGCTTAAAAAATAAGATCATCTGATCTCTTGGTGGAGTCTCTCCAGATTTGCGCTGGTGGAAGAGGGGCTCTGAATTTAGTTCCTACTACTTAAAAGTAAGTAGTTGCCCTTTAAGATGTAAATCTATTGAAATCCAACCTTAGACATTGCCGGGGTCACTCTGCTTATTACTTTATGACATTTCCAGATTAAAGGTGCAGTGGGGGCTCACATTAATTTGCTTTATGTTTGACTAGAAATGCTTCCCATCACTATTAGAGCACACTTCGAGCTCTCTTCATTTTAGAACGCTTGTCAGTCATTTGAGAATGATATGCCCTACGTCTGGGATGAATAAGCACATCATATATTAGGCAGAGGCTTTTTCTCTGGAGAGGCTCAAGAAAACTGACAACTACTTCCAAGGAAGGTGAAAAACATACACAAGCCCAGCGGCTGAGTGAGAGAGGAGTGGGGAAATATTCTCCTAAGGCATTATCCAGCAAGCTGATTGAAAGCATCCAGGCAGTTGTCCTGTGACAGCAGTTCTTAAAGATGCAGATCAGTGGGAATAAGAGGAAATGGGGACCAATGCTTCCACATACATCTCTGTTCTGTGGTAGGTAAGAAAAAGTCTTTCACTGGGAGCCTGTACATATCTGTGCAAACCTCTGGGTCCCGAACTACAGAGCTTCCTATGGATTTAAAGAAGAGAGGGAATTCTGCATTTCCTAGCCTAAATATGGCCATTTTCCTTTTTTATTCTGGAGTGAAAAATAACTTGTCAATTATTCCACTAATTTCTATCATGAAATCTTGTCTAATTTTGATATCTATTTAGAAGCTGCCTGCATATTAGACCTTTCAGGGAGAAAAACAAATTATGGTTCCGCCACAAGGATGAGAATCACAAAGTACTTAGTAGCTTACTGGGTGTTAGTGCGCTTCTGTGTAAATAACAGAGGATCCCACTCATGGGTAGTATTTGTATCTTCTCTACCAAGAGGTGAAACAGCTGCCCTGCAGTTTTGCTGATGATGCTGCACTGGTGGAAGAGGGAGGGAATTTGAAGCTCAAAGCCAGTTGCTGAAATACCCTTCTTCTGGAGACACAAGGCCTGATTCTGCAAGAAATGAGTGAAGACCACTTCCTCTGAGGTCATTAAATTTCAGGTACAGACACAACAAAGCAGAAAACATCTTTACCTTTATGCTGAAGTCACTGGAACTGTCCGTGAACTTGATGTTAAGCATGTACTTTTAAATGCTTAACTTCACTGGAAACCCAGTATTTCAGAGGCTCAGGCCCTTCAGTCTGAAACCTATCGTAGTGATAAATTTCAGGCAGTTTCTGAATATCTTGTCTCCCTTCTCGCACCTTCACAGAGCTTTTTTCTTTTCTTTAATGTAGATTTCTATTTGTAAAATGTTTCAATGTATTTATTTTGCTATTCATTCATTAATGGCATTTGCTATCCATTAATGACAACGTGGCTAAAATACTATTAGAAATATGACATTGCTGTGGAGGCAAATTAGAAATGTAATGAACAACATAGAGTCTCTCAAATTTTGTATGCTTAATTAACTATGCATTAATGTGTTTCCTTGCAAATTGTGCCATAAGGACTTTGAGTTTCCGACTGATCTGTGTTGCTGTCCGTCATTAGTCTTGAGCAATCCATATTTCCATCTCTTGCTTTTCAGAACCCCTGAAAGGTATACACCCTCCCTGCAATTGCAGGTCCATGTCCACCCAACAGCATGAGCTGCCCTCGCTGCTATATTCTCTGGGGAGTTTATCTATACTTCCTGCTCTATATGTCATCCTAAAACATTTTACAGAGCAGTATAAGCTGGTAAAAATTCACTTTTTCACAAAATGAGTGTGAAAATTGCAGCAACCAATTGACTTGTGCATACCCACTTTCAGCTCTTAAGTGCTATATCCTCTCTCACTCCACCTTCAGTTTAATGTCCTAACCTCAGTGATGCACAGAATTATATAGCTTAATATATAGCTTAATCCATTCCAGGGAGTTTTATCTTTTCTTATATTAACTTATCCATAGATGATCTTGCAATGATGGCATATGCTGGAGACAGTCATTTTTAAAGCCATCTGCAGCTGGTCCTTGTGTGAATACTACACCCTGGAACTCATGATTCCTCTTCACGACTAATTATTTCCTATGGCTTTTAATACTGTTTCGAGTCTTAGAATAGCTCTGAATGATGATAGACATATATTATTATTACAGGTTGTATTAAGCAGTCGTAGCTCAAGTTCTAATTACATTACCCTTCAGCCACGGCAGCAGTAACACTTGCTTTGGTTCTTGAGTTTCTAGGAATAATCCAGCCAGTAGTTCTCAGTCAGACTGCAAGGTCAGGGAAAAAAAGGGATTCTTCTACCCTTATTTTCTTGTACGATCTGAGGGAACATATTGTGCCAAAAGGACAAAACTGGCCCTGAAGTGAACGATTAGAGCAGAGGACTCCATGTGTCGCACAGTGCTTCCTGATGTTATGCTCCTCGAGGCTGGCGCAGGGATGGTGGAAGTAGTGTGACTCTGCTCTTGGCACAAGGGGCACCCCGTCCTAAGCGGGTGCAGGAGATATCCATGCAGTAAGAGCGAGTGGCGGCATTTTAGGCTGCACAAATTGTGAGACTGGTCTGCAGAGGGTCCGGTGGCACAACTGAAGATTTCTACATCCATCGAGCAGAAGCCAGCAGGACAAAACACCCTCTAGTTCCCTCCAACAAAGAAATACTACCGTATTTCTAACTATTTTTTCCACAAATCTATGATTTGTAGGTGGTTGCCTAAAGTCCCATGTAGTGGGATCAGTGTGGTGTGTATATCCCATTTTAAGTTTTTTTGATGGAGAGAGGGAAATTCTAGTCCACATAATCAGTGAGGAAAGCTTGAGGATTGAGTCTGGGCATCCAAAAGATTTCAAAACTAGGAGTCAATTAAAAAGTATTTGGCTTTTATTATTTTTAGTCTGTGGGTGGCTGGGGTCATAATATTTACATGGCTGATAATAACATTTCTGATTTGTGCCTGTAATACCTTTATTGACGTTTGGTGGTTGTTTATAAATCTTATGAGAAATATTTTTATGATTTAAAAAGTGAAACAGAAATATGACAGACATTTTTCAAAAATATTTAAAATCATTCCTGTGGTATTGAAAGTCCATGTGCAGAGCATAAGGATATGATTTGATTTTTTATGTTTGGTTGTCCGAATTTCCAAATAAATAAATAGCATAAATAACAAAGTGACTATTTCTTTGTTCTTAAGCTCCTTTATTTGATAATCTCAAGCCATATAAACAACTAAGGAAAGGTTTTATTATGTAATACTACACAGCAATATCTTAGAGATGGTTCTTTGGGACAGGGAGTCTCTCTCTACGGTCCCCAGAACATTTTGGTTTCTACTATAAACTTATTACAATCTATTTCTCTGTTGTAGAGTTTTCTTACAGTACCCATAAAAGCCAAGCACCTGATACTAGAATACCTCATTTATATAGCAATTTTCATCCCTCAGTGTGTGAATTTATACGTGTATGTCTGTGAATGCTCCAGATCTTTTACATTTGTCATATATGTAGCTGTGAAAATCAATATGCATGTTTATTAGCAATTAATGATATCCAGTAAAACTCTAAAAATAAAATAAACATCACTTTTAGGGATTAAAAAAAGAGAATGTGGTTTATCAGCTTGAAAATGGATGAAAAGTATTTCTTTACTATGTTAATTAATTGCCGTTGACAAAAGTAGGATCCTTCACTCCTCCTTTCATGTTGCTAATTCTATCTCTCTCTCCTTCTCCCTCTCTCTCTCCTCAATTAAACATATGAAAGTATCCCCTCCCCTTTCAGAAAGAAGCTTTTAGATTAATCATATTATCTTAAGGTTCCAAATCTCAGTGCCTGCGTGACCTTTCTTCCGTTAGAATCCATTATCTTAAACTATCACAATAATCCTGGCTTTAGGGAGGGAGAGCGGGAAGCAGGAATCAAACCTAATAGATGGCAAATAAGATTAATCTATGATCTAAGTGCCGATTACACTTGGTCCTGCCCTTGAACACCCAGGTGTAACCTTGAAATTCACATCCGCTAAGACACTGCAATTGGATTGCGGGTCCCCAAAGGCCTGGACAGGGCAGCTGGCCAAACTTTACCCATTATTCCCCAGCGAGACATGAGCTGTCTCGGCCTACAGCTCTTTTACTTGTGGAATTTGGCAGCGGCACAGTTGAATGTTTGTTTTGGGATGTTTAGCATTTTTTCAGATAAAATAGTTATTTTCAGGTCCTTAATTTTTGTTTGTCAGAAGCAAGCAGCCAGGGAATGGGTGAACTTTTACCTGGACCTCACAAGAGGAGAGAGCTCTCTTTGCAAAAATCTGATAACTCTGCAGAAGAAAACAGAGATATTTTCTTTCTTTATAGGCTGACCTTCGGACCCTGCCAAAAAAAATGTTCTGTATGAACTTGAGTTTGCAAGGTCCCTGTTTTCAGTTCCGAATACGCCGCGTTCTGAAAAAGGACATCTGTGATAAGATGGAACTTGGCATCGGTAACTCATGTCCTCTGAGTGAAGCATGCTCAAATGAGGCGGACCCAGAGGTAATTTTTCATCAAAGAACTTTTTAAAGCCATTATTAAAACTAGCATAAATTTCCGCCGTTGCTGGCAGCTTCAGCGGGCAGGATAGGGTTGATGTGGAGATGGCAGCTGAGCTCTTTTATCTATTTATATGTAAGGCCAGCTTCTCAACTGGGGTAAAACAGTGAGAGTTTGCTGACGTGCTTGAACCCTGGCCGTGAATGTCAGCCGGGAGGTAGCAGCAATCTGATTTTGCAGCCATCTGCCCTCTGGCTGCTCCGACTGGAGACAATGGCCAAGCCTTGCAGGGAAGAGCCCGTATTTCTGCTCTGTGTATACCTAGTCTCATACCACAGTACCCTGGTGCGACAATAACGCAAGCGATAACACATTAGTTGGAAAGTATACCACAGGAAGGGCCAACATGGGGTACGTCTGGCAGCTGCCTTATTCTCAAATGGTCCTTTGGTAATCTCAAAATTATAGGGTAAGGGAAGAAGAAAAAGAATGAGGCAGCCCCATGTGGATAACAGCCCCTGCAGTGGTGGCCCCTTGGCACGTCAAAAGTTGTCCGAGGCACAACGGCCAGCGGGTAGGAGGGATGAAATCACTGCAACCCCCCACGCCAAACCCTTACGAGAGTCCAGTCCCCCAGGGCTCATCCCACCTCAGGGAGGCACTTTTTAAGAGGCACCCGAAGCATACGATTGCCTTCAGGGCAGTGCCATGCACAAAGAGCTGTTGTTTCACAGTCCCTTCGCTTGTTTTGCCAGCTTATGAGTGTCTGCTCTCGCAGGTATTGTCAAAGCTATGCTCAGCTCCTATTACCTTGGGGAGAGTATATAAACAGCATGGCACCAAGTTTGTCACAAGCTCACTTGCCAGGAAGCTGGCCTGGTGGGACTTGTGGATGCTATGTGGATAGGTAAATAAAACAGGAGACGCCTGACCTGATTTGTATTTAATTTAGAGAGAAATCAATGAGGAGAGGAAAAAAAAAAGTTACAAAATGGACTGGCCAAGTGGACTTTGATCAAAAAGTAAATCTGTGCACACAAATACTGATTAGCAACTTTGCATCTCTGCCATTTCTTTGCGTGTGTTTTACCGATATTAAAGCTGCTTGTGGTCCCTGAGTTGTTGGTGATGCTTCAGAAGTTTTGAGGTGTCCTGAAATGCTGGACTCAGGCTACCAGATTCCACGATCAAAATAAATAAGACTATCCTACCAGATTGCTATTAATTTTACAAAAAGCCTCCTAAAGGAAGTGAATTTTATGGGCATGTCTCTTAAAGTTCCTGTGGGCTCAACTCCCAGCCTCAACCTGCACTTCCCTAAATCTGGGGAAATTGCAGAGCTGGATAGAGCATCCTGTGTCTGGCAATTCATGCAGGCTGCAAACAGCCACGAACTGAAAGGCAGGACGCTGGTGGACGCAGGGTGCAGCCACCTGCGACAGCGACGGCAGTGGAAGGGAGGATGTTCCCGTGCGGTGACGCATGGAGCCAACCAGAACACACAAACTCTGCATCTTTCGGCCGGAGAGGGTTAACTCGCGCTTGCAGCAGGCAGCCTCATGCCATTAAGTCAGGGAGAGTAATGAAATTTCATTTAATTTGTCAGGAAGAAAGTGCTAATGTTAAAAGGCATTTAATAAAAAGGGGGAGATTCTTTGAAAGGAAGCCTTTAAGTAATTACTTCAAGTGTCTTAGGCCTACTCACCAGAATATTTACATTAGTGTCTCCCAGCGCCAAAGTGTAATTAAATTAGTGCAGCATTTACATTCCATCCTGTTTTTTTTAGAAGTGTGATTTTATTAACAATTCTCAAAAAACGAAAAGCAAGCCTTGATCTAATCAAATCAGGTGTTAGTATTTTTTTAGTGTTCTCACTGAGAAAACTACTGAGTAAACTGGCTGGGAGAAGTGGCGGGGGGTGAGGGGGCTTCATCTCGGCTTTACGTTCTGCTTGGAGAGATGCCATTTGTTTTATCTGCCTGGGGACTGATGTGGAAAACTCTGGCCGACGCTGTACAGACTACCCAGGCCTCTGGTAGAGTTTGCAGGCTTAGTCTGGCCGTCTTTGCAAAGTGCGGAGGTGCATATGTGAGGAAGAGAGAAGGAGATGGAGAGGCACTGAAGATGGCATCAGAGGAGAGAAGCAGAGGATAGACCTGGGAAACGTCTGGCCCGCAAACGTGCACAGGGCAAAGCCCCCCTTAAATGCTCGACATCAGGAGACAGGAGGCTGCAAACTATTGGAAAAACTGTGTTGTGTGTGTCTTACTGCTAAAAAGCTCTATTTTTGCAGAGCGTATGTGTAATACTCCTCTAGGGGAGGACAAAATTCCCACCTTGAACAAAATGGGGTGAGTTCTATTTGCCTGAGCTTCATTGTAAATGTGGCATTTTAAATGCAATTTTAAGAAAAGAGAATATAAATTCATTAGAAATAAAGCACATCTTGGCAAGTCATCGTTCTGTAGCAGAAATGGCTCAGTTTGTTACACAGATGCAGAATTACACGTGCTATAGGAGATGACGCTGGAGATGGTTAGCAGGAAAGAAAAGCCAACGGATTTTTTTTCTAACAAAAATAAAGGAAAAAATATCATTTTGCAGATATTGAAATGTTTTGGCAAAACATACATGATTGCATGAAAAATTACGTTACCTGTCACTTCAGCCAAAAGGAGAGAAAGGTGTTTCCATCACAGAGGAACTGATACCTTGTGCTTGCTAGACTCAGCTGGGCTATAGGGGACACATTTTCAAGTCCCTAAAAGAAATTAAGCAAAACAGAAATTTAAACCTGATTCCAGTTTTTCACTGCGTACAGAGAGTTTGGCTGATTGATTTTATTTCATGTGAAACTTTGCTAGTTAAAAATTATTTTTGGAGTGATGATGAATACAAATAAACTGATGAGCATTTTCCAGAATTGCATTAATCCAGTGTCTATTGCTATATAAAACCTAAACCTGCCACAACTGGTTTACAGCTTTCACCTGGGATACTAGTGTCCCAGATTCAGGTCTCTGCTGTATCGTCTTATCAGTGGGGACTTCAAGCAGGGTCTCTAGCGAATTATATATGAGCATCTAAAAAAGTAGGGCCTTGCTGCCTTTGCTTGCATTCGATTAGCCCTGTACCTTGTAAATAATCTGGATGAATCTGAGGAGCAGCATCTAACTTGCCAGGTAAAGACCACTTTAAAAATAATTTGAGCGTGAATGTTGCAGTTTGCTGAAACAATTTCAGCCTCCTTCACTAGAAATTGCTTTTCACGATGTCCAGTATAACTTTAAATGACTCTGAAAGTGGATGTTCTAGCACGAACAAGCCTCTCTAAACTGAAAAATTAACATGCGCAGCGATCAAATGCTTTTGCCCTGTATTTGAAGGCTTTTTTGAAAAGAAAGCAGAAAAACTTTGTAGCTGAGAAAAATCCCCTACTTTTGCCACTGCCTCTCTAAGTAGCTACAGAGGGAATGGCTGGGATTTAGTGCAAAATCAAAGGAGTCCGTGGGATAACAATAGCGGCGCTCTGAGCGGGGGAAAAGCATACTTGTGTGACTCCATCCGAGCTGGAATGGCTTCCTCTTCCCGTGGTACAGCGGATTCAAAGGGAATCTAAAAACTCAAAGATCCTAGAAAAATATCTGAGCTAGGGGAAACTGGCCAGCGCGTCAGTGCAATGGTGACGGGCTGACACCCTCAGAAGGAAAAGAGGAAAAAACTGAAAAAGCAATGCACTCCCCTTCTTCCTGCCAGGGCGGTGATGCTATTTACAACTTTACAAGTTCTCTTGCATGTATCTGTCTGATTCAAAGCACTTCTTTTATTTTTTCCTGTGCTCGGCAAGCTTTGCAACCTTTGAAGGATGACTGACTGCAAGTCATGTTTTGAAGCTGTTTTTGTCGGAGTCATGGCAAATGTTACAGCAGGAGTCTTGCAAAGGGACCCTGGCAAGAGCAAAGCCCGGCTGGGACAGGGGAAGAGAAAAGCCTCTCCTGTGGGAAAGGAACGAAAAGCACTGGTGCGTAAGGATGTTCCAAGTCGTGGAGATGGCTGATATCCCAAGCTGCTTCACATGACCCATTGGTCCTTTCTCAGTTTAATCAGTAGGCAGGCACAAGTGCCCACTAAACCACATCTTCACTATCTTACTCTTACCTTAAAGGACATTCATCCTAACCCCAGCGTTCACAAATAATTTAAAAATAATTTCAAGATTGGCAACATGGGTTTTATTTTATTCCCATTTTTCACTCCTGGGGTATTTGGTTATTGAATGCAGAGCTTTATCTGTGGCCCAGCAAGTAAAACGTGCAGTGAAAAAACGGCAAATGCTGGGACCGCCACCACCGAGCCATCCTGTATCTGCACCGTTAATTAGACCTGGCGCTATCAACAGCTGCTGAGGCAAAGACTGCTGAATGTAGCATCTATTTACATGGGGTTCAAAACTAGTGCCTGGTGTTTTGGGAAGGTGAGGAGTGCTTCATGCTGCAGCCATTTCGATTGCATGTTTGTAAAGGAGAAGATTTTGGGGCCAAACGGCATGCTGTTCCTGATTAGGGCAAGAATAAATCGATCCTGTTTGCAAAAGTGCTCTACAATCTGGAGAAAATGGAATTTGCTGAATGTCGAGAACTTCTGAAAAGCTGCACGCTTCCTAGAGATGCCTAACTAGGAGCTAATCTCTTTCAGCGATCTGGTCCTCTCTCCTAAAAACACATTTTTATATGGTAGAGCAGCTGTTGTTGCTTCTGTTGTGATGATCTGGGTGAAAAGTTTGGTAACAGAGAGGGAGGCTTTAAAAAAAGCAAAAGACAAAAAAACTCCAAAAAATTCTTCCCTAAACCCACCCACTGAAAAAAAACTTCTGCTCTGGCCTTCCAGAGATGTAAAACTTCTAATGTTTTTTAGTGCAATTAAAACAAATGCTGACATTATTTATAGCTAAATCACTGGCAAGAAAAACAACTAATGACCAAAACTCACATTCGTAGCATTAAAAAAAAAAAAAGAAAGAAAGAAAGAAAATCCTAAAGGGAATGATTTGTAAGGATGTGGTTAAACCTATTTATACCCTGGGTTCTATTTGTTTTACAGCCAGCGGTGCACGAACAACATGAAAGGTTATCTTTGACAAGGTTTTAGCTATTATTTTCTTCCAGTGAAATGGTATTTCTTGAGAAAAAAAGGTCTTCAGAACAAAATAACAATAAATCCTGATTTAGATACATAAAGCTGCCATCGATATCACATAATATCAGTGTTCTTTCTCACTCGATACAGGCGTTTTTAAGATAAATGGTAAAACTGAACTGGAAATCCATCTGGCCAGCTGCCTGATCTAATGAATAACCCCACTTTGGCTCCTGCAATGTAAGCAGAAAGAGTTCTCTCCCGGCCGCTTTCGTCTGTCATGAATCTACAAGACAGCCGACATAATATCTGGGCGACAACAGCGTGCTAACAGTGCAGTGACTTCCATTTTCTTTGCTTTCTATTGATTTTCACTTAATAACTGGCGAAATACTAAACGTCCGCCCTGAGTACCTAATAAATCCTGCCTGAGCTTTTTATTGAGGAGAATTTAATAAAAACAACCATTGCGGCTGAGGGATTTTTCTTCTGGACAGAACGCGGTGAGGGGTGGGTGGCGTGCATGGGTGCGGGGGGAGCGACATTTGAATTTTCTGATTTTTTTTTTTTTTTGGACGATTTTCCCCCCCTCCCTTTCTCCTCATTGCCCTCTCGAGGACCCAGCGTTGTTTCTTCCGAAGGGACCTGGTTGCTCGGCTTTGCTTCTGTTTTCCCATTGTTCAAGAAATGGCCACTGCACGTATTGCCACATGTCGCAGAGGAAGAAGGGTATTTATAGCAGGACGACACTTCCATCACGTCGAACCCACCCACCCAGGCTTACTTCTTAAATCTGATTTCAATTTTGTTAATTGTTATGAAGGCTCTTTAATTGCCCAGCGCAGGGGCTGTCAGAATCCTACAGTAACACGCTTTTTATTGTCCCATTTTACAGCTATTTTATGTTTGACACTTGACACGCAGGCGTGAAGATCCCCTGTCGGATTGGTTGGCTACTGTAACAAAATGGCATTTTTAAGTTATACGAAGTGTTAAATCTGCATCCAGTTAAAAACAAAACAAAACAAAACCCGGTGGTTTATAAGTTGACAATTAATCCTAATTGTTAGCTTGGGAAAAAAAAAAAAAAAAAAAACACTAGAAAAACAGAAGGAAAAGGCCATAATCCTTCTTTCTCTAGTTGTCCGGCAAGCATGTGTATATGTTGCATACAATTTTCTTTCCTGAGGATGAATCAGGAGAGACTGGGATAATATTCCTAAGTACAACATATTATTTTCCTCTGCATAACCTCCCGGAACGGCTCTCTTTGCCAATAAACTCAACAGAGTCCCTATTATACAAAGCTGCTTTTTAAAGCATTTGACAGTTTTTATTTTAATTGACACAGAGGCAGTTTCAAAGTCATTGGGTTTAATGAACAATCATCTTAGCATTTGCCTGCTTAAATCCTCTTATTCCCAGCAGTTCACAGTAAAGTTTATTCTAACGGTTGAAATTAAAAAAGGAGAGAGAGAGAAGCAGAAATGTTGAGGAGCTTATATAAAAATCTGTGAATCTCAAGTTTTGTGCGGCGCTGTTATGAAAACTACTCAGCCATGCAAAGCAATAAGAGGTTTAATTACTCCTTGGTAGTCCCTCTGCTGCTCCTGATGTGGCGTGTGGCGTTGCAGAGGCCTGGGAGAGATAATTGAGGCATATGGGTGGAGTGCAGTGCCAGTTTGGCAGCTCATCTTTTTTCTTTTTTTATTTTTTTTTGCGCCACTTACTGTCTCATTTCTGCGGAGGGGCAGAAGGCTCAACAGTTCACCGTGGAAAAGTATTCGGTAGATATCCCTTATTGGAACAGGGTAAGGATCTTGCGTCGATGGGGCTTGAGCTCCAGAAAGGACAGAAAATCTCTCCTGAGATTTTGCGTGACTTGTGTTTCCAGTCAGAAGGAACAGGATGTCTCATGGTCTTCTGGCAAATCCACTTTGGCTGCAACAAGCCGATACGAGAGGCAGCGTGGGAATAAAACCTCTGAACCTCCAAAAAGATCTATTTTCAGGTTCGGCTTAATCTATCTAATCTAGGCATTACTGGGCTCCTGTGGCCCAGGATATAATGGCTTGTAATAGGCATGCTGCTGGTGACAGCTACAGCCCTTCCCTTTGTCAGGGTATTGCTGCGTAAGGGGAAGGAAACAACTAAACTGAGCAAGCCTGGGCCTGTAAAATCACTTGGAGGGAATATTCCAAACCAGGGATTTTTAATTCATTCGTGATTCAGTGCCCATTTTAAGGCAGACTCACTCATGAACCGTCTCCTTCTTGATCACATCACTTCATGGGGCAACTCCGTGAGAATAATTAAGTACAAAAAGTGTCACCTCTGCTTTATTGCTGTATGTTAATGCAAATCAAAAATGCATTCCAGCAGGACGCGATCAAATGTTCTTGCAGCTGACCAGCCAGTAATTCTGGTGCAGCCTGATGTTAGAGTTTGGAAACCTCTTTCCTATAGTAAAATCTTTCTACAATTTTTACCAAACTGATGAAAGAAGAAGAAATGCTATCACTATCTGAATTGAGCAATAGAGTGACAGGACATATTTGCATTCTGAATAGATTAGCCGGTCTTTTAAATATTTATTTGTGTCTATTTTCAAAGTCCCTATCCTCTGAAATTTTCCAAACACTTCTGATTTGACAGACTGGGAAATCTGTCTGCAGCTCCAATTATACTTGAAAAGACACATATAAATGATTTGACAAGTTAAAAATTAGCAGCAAGTTATGTACCTAGCAAGGTTTTGTGAGCAGCAGTTCATAATTCATGATACTTCACTCCGGAGTTCATGCAAATTCTGCATGTGTGGGATCATTTAATTGGTAAGCATAAAGGTGTACTGCTATTCACCTAATGTATTCTATTGCTCAACAAAAGGTTGTTGTAGTGAGCTTTGATTGTGACAAATGATTTACTATTAGGAACATTCTGTAATTATTGTTCGGTGGTACCACAGACCGATACATCATTAACGTGATAGACGACCTTTTATAACAGCAAAAATAACTAAATTAATAAAAATGGCTTCATTCCAAACCCTGTCAGAAAGCCAATACTTGAAACAATCAAGTATCAGTGATACCTGAAAAGACCAGAGTTACATTTTTGTTAAGCAAATCTTATTGTTTGTACAATAACATTGACATGTACCGTAGAATATAAGGCCAGATTTTCAACTGGTGTGAATCAATGATATAATAAATTCTACTTATGTGGAGAGACATCACTCCACATCAGTCTGGGGCATGATATGTAAGATTTTATTGTCCTGCTAAAAGAAAGACCCTAAATGAAGTATCAGAAAACTTTTTTTTCTCCTCAAGAATTCTGGGAATTGATGCAACTGTGTTTAGACACACTGGTTCTTCAGACAGATTCTGTTCTCAATTACGTTTGCACAAATGCAGTATGACTCTTCTACATTAAATAATTCCTCCATATTTACGTCAATGTCATTTGAGTTTAGAGAAGCCTGAATCCCATCCTTTGATATTAAAGTTCAGAACTTAGAAAGACACGCAAAGAATAGATTTTTTTTTTTCAAAATCAGGGAGGCTAAGCTCAAGATTACAACTTATGTCTACCAGATATGCTATTTTCACTTTTTAAGGTTTTTTCAAATACTTGACAAAAGAATATAGTTTCAGGTGGAAAATACTAACCCACTGGTTCTGGAGATCGGGGCCCTTTGTAGAGTATAGTTAACTGGTCCATACTCTTTCCAGACCCACATTTGCCATTTATGCCTCAGTCACAAGCCCTGTAAGGGGTGGTGC